AGTAAGTAGTTATAATGTACTAAAATCAGGGGTAGATCTAGGATTATTGTATTGAGGGTGCTACGATGGTTATTATTTCAAAGACCAATCAACACAAAAAATTTAAAATGTTAAATAATGTGATATCCTATCGAGGAAGAATTATATGGTTAACAGCTGAGAGAGAGGGTGCTATACTGTAACATAGAGTCCCTATATAGATCTATCTAACCGAATACGTTTCTAAAATTATAATTTTGTATATACTAAAAAAGCCATTAAGTAAAAAATATTTTTGGCTGCCAGATATTATAAATTATTATGTTTTAACATAATCCTACAGGTATCATGTTTAATTGATCGTCCAGGTTTCCTAAATACACTATAATAGTTACATTTACACCTTACACATGTATTATGTTGTATTTAAATGGACTGTAAGTTTAGTTAAAATAACATTAAACAATGAATTATAGTATTTTACAGTGACTGTGTAAAACTAATTTAAGTCTGCTTAAAAAAAATGAATTTTATAAATGATAGAAATAACGAGGCTAGGTATATTATATATTATAATCTCTTACCTCGTATATATTTTATGTACAATAACAATAGGTATTACTGAAGAAATAATAACTATTTTTTACTACTAGTAAAAAATTATGTTAAAATTATGTCGTAGAAATAAAATATTATATTTTATACTACTGTTTTTCGAATGAAAATTAATTGCAGCAGTAATCGATATATGATCTATATGCGTATTGGCATTTGTCCTCATTACTCGTGTGTGAAGCAAAATATCGGATTAATATAAACGCGGAACATGTAGTATAACTCGATAAATATATGACATGACCTTTTTGTTATTCATAGTAAACTACTAAACTAAAAAAGTATTTGGTACCTATAGTTGTAAAACCGTTTAGAATTTATTTAAGATACCTAACTATAGGTACTGTATAAAATGTAGATAATCATGAAGAAAGACTTCTCAGAATATTGTGAAGACAAATTCACCAATGTTCAACTAATTATCATTCATAGGCTTTTAATTTGACCTATTGAAATAACATATTACTATAATGATATAACCATAGGCATATTAAGCTAATGACGACTATGAATTTATAGTCATAATTCATGTACCGTTATATTATTCTAATTAACTTTCTAGTTAAGTTTGAAAAATTGATTTATATCGTATAGTTTGAAGATCATAGTTCCTAAAAATACACTCTGTGTAGAAATCTAATTGATACGTATGTTCTACGACCACGTCCAAGAAATGCGTGGACGAAACGAATTTTGTATGTGTTAAGTTATTTTTAACTATATAGTTTATAGCGTGTTCTGATATTCTGACCGTTAGATAAAATATGCTAACTATTCAAAAGTTCCAGTACCCGTCTAATTACTATAGCTATTGCATGGATTCGCAGGTGTGGGACTTTGGTCTACACACGAAATCAATAAGTCGTGATTAATTGATACCCGTACAAGTGTAAAACAGAATTTAACAGATTGATTTAATAATATTATAAAAACCGACAAGTTCTTTAGTTTCAAATTTAACTAAACTCAAACTATACTCTGGTGCAAGTATGTGAAAAATTCAAAAATACCCTTACAAACTGGCTGTTTTATATCTTTCGAATAATTTGGATAATACCAATATAATATTAATCTCGTTCTTTTTGAAAGGGCCAAGTGATTTTTTTTGATCATTTTATGTATGTGCAAAAAGTGTTATTCAATTTTACGAGCTGTCCTCTGGACATAGGTATCATCAAGGTTTTTTGAAGATGACTGATCAATGTGAAATGTACCGGGATTGTGTGTGACATTTGAGATATGGTGACTGGTACTTAATGCTTTAAATAAAAACTCAATTTTGAAACTATGTAGATTGTCGGTAATATAATAATTAAATACTAAATTACTTTGTATATCTTTTTAAATATTAATGTAATATGTAAATATACTAATAGATAATGTACTGTTACATCCAATGGCCATAGACGCCGCGGATGGTTGTTTAATAAAAAAAAAAAAAAAATAATTATAGCATCTAGGTACCTAAATAATACGAATTAGTCATAATTAATATATCATTAAATCAGTAATAGTCATTATTCAAATGGTTGTGCTGTAGAAGCTATATATACATTTTTACCGAACTTGAAACGAGTGTATAATAAACGTACAAAGGAATCTATTTGATTTGACCGGTTAAATGATTATATTCTTAACTTTATTGATTCTATGCTTCTATGGCTTTAAAAAATTGATGGGACTTGAGTAAAAATTTACTTGTTTAGTTTTTAGTATTTTTACATCGAAATTTTTAAAACTGAGACAAAATGTGTTTTATTCAAAGGATACAGATTGTTACTATGGGTTGGTGGCTTAAAAGAAAAGAAAGTAGAAACCCTAGATAATAAATACCTATAATACCTAAATAGCTATATAAATACCAAAGTGATAAAAAAATATTTAAAAAAAAATAGTTTTTTTTTTAGAAATCGCAAAAATATAATAATATTAATATAGTCGTGATCGAACGTTTCGTCTTGTACACACATATATTACTTTACATGGGCAGGGTAGTACAACAATGTAGTATATTATATAGATATGTACTATATGTAGGTATATGTTATTATTATTATATACTATAATACCTCAGTGGCGGCGAGTTGGTGGTTAGGTATTCAACCTCATTCTCGTCCCTTACTAGTTTTTCATCGTTTAAAAACGTAATAATGTTCTTATAAACCACATCATAATGTATATATGTATATTTTTGTTTTGAAACCCCTTTCCCCCCGCTCACAATAATTGTAAATATCTGCGTACGTCATTGCAATACTTTAGTATAAGTACTATGTTTCAGTACACGCGTATGTACGGTATTATATGACGAACCACTCGTCGACGACCCATGTGCACATGGGACCGAGAGAAATTGCCGCCGGATCTATATATAGAAACGCCACTATGGCGGTGTTGTACGATCGGAGTCAAACGTTCAACCCGTCGCCGTCACTGACGGTGACTCGGTATACTTCTTCGACCGTAGTAGTCTATTCTGCCTGTCTCTCGCGCGCCCGCGTCCGATAGTCATCCGTCCGATCCCTGTTCGATAAATCGCCAAAACAAGAGATTCACTTGTCGTCGTTGGTTTTAATTTTTATATTTTTATCGTCCACTCGTTCGATTGATTGTCAGCTTTTTTATTTTCATTCGTCCGATGTTATACCTCGCTGGCGATTCGTTTAATTACATTACGTACTTGGGTTTTATTTTATTATTTACGTGCACATTACAGTGAGAGAGAGAGAGAGAGAGAGATAGAGTGAATGACAGTGAGAGAGAGAGCGCGAGGTGACAGAGAGACGACCAGACCGTCAGCCAGCCAGTACGCCGGTACCCGTATGTACGCACCGAGGAAACGACACTCCGCCACCGCCGCCTTTTGCGTGTCTAATATATTAATTGACAACGCCCTTAGTTAATCATTTCCTTCCTCTAGAGCACGCGACCTTTAACTCGTCTGGTGCTGCTACTACTATTATACACTGCTACCTACTCTTCGGTAATTGCATCGTATACACACATAATAATATTATATATCGTATACATTGTGCTGTATTTTCGATCGAATAATGATAGTAATATTATGCTTTGGTGGGGTGTGTACCGCGAGCAGTGTGCGAATATTTACTTGTGGTTTTCGGAGAAACAAAAACTGTTTTAACATAGCTACTAATATTATACAACATTAACGGCTGCTTTTTTTGTTATAACGGTTAAATCGTTTTACATTTTCAACTATTCATCGTTTTAATAATATTGATTTCATATTTTTAATCGGAATCCTTTACCGTAATTTCGGCAGACAATATATGGAACAATAAATTGTTTACGAAGACAACGCAATGGAGCACAAATTTATGGTGCGGTTAACGAAACGCCAAGATGTGCAGTTATTGTGACGAGGTGTAACGATACAATACGTTTTTTTAAACGATGGAAAAACAGGTGGAAAGTATTTTTGTATTTACCGGTTATACGCTAATGTATATATACACATAAACGGTGCACTCGGCGCAGTGAAATCGAGAGTGACTTACTCTATTCCGTATAGTTTCGTATTGATTTGTCATTAGTCATTACGAAAATAGGTGTTTATTTTCTCACGAAAAACGGCGTCGAAGTTCCGTCCCATGGCAACATGTATTAATTCACAGCTGCAGTGTATTTAAAGTCAAAAGTAACGTTTGAATATTTTTGAGAAATCGTGTTTGTAATCATTTGGATTGGAGTTTTTTTCATCTGAATATTTTTAATAATTGCATTTTATTATAATATCAAGCTATTTATATTAAGTTATTTCATAGTTTATTGAACATAAACATAATAATTTATTATATAGTGTTGTGTTGGAGTTTTCATACTCACTGACCACTGTTTCCTCTCTGTAATGTTTTCGGAAATACCCCTAGAGTTTTGCAATTTTTATGGAACACGATTGAGTAATAACACTATACTTTCAACTCACAAGAGCATAATATTATAACTAATGTATAGTTGCGGTAATTTAAGCTCCACGTTAGAATTTAAGAATATATTATATAATACACCAATATTGTGTTATTAAAAAAAAAAAACAGTATATCAACACGTTATTAAAAATTAAAAATTAAAAATTAAAGTCTTTATCGTATATTAACGTTCAATACTAGATGATGAGTCGGAAATGGCTTAGTTTCAAATAATGTGTAAATATGAACATAATTTGTTTGCTTCATATCTAAATGACGTAGTCAGTTCGTGAATAATCCCGATTCGAATCGAAGGTCGATAGACAAAAAACATTTTATATTATTTACAGTTACCTTGTCACTGTTTTGATACGCTGCGGCATCACAAATATCAGCGATACTATACACATACTATATAATATGATGTATAATATATTATAATAGTCTAACCGTAATATTTCTAAACTGTTTCAGGCGAGGTATCATAACCGATGTGCAGCTGCAGGTCTAGGTTAGGTACACGGTCATCATGACGAAGCGCAGTCATCGCCGCTGAGGCCCATCGTCTCAACCACTATTTTAGCAGTGTCCACGTCCCACACGCCGACGGTCGCGCCGACTGCCGAAGAATTGTATGACCGCCGTCATCGTTGTCTTCGGTTGAACGGTACACGGCCAGGTTCGGCGAGCGATGACCACGACAGCTAACCACCGGGCCGCCGCAGGAGGTAACATGGCTCCCGAACCGGAGGAAGACATCGCGGCCATCGCCAAACAGATATCGGACCACGCGGAGGCGATATACCAGACGTGGAAGGCCCGGGGCCTAGCGCCCAACGAGATACTGACGTGCCACCGGGACTCGTCGGCCGCAGCTGACAAGTTCGGCTCGGCGCTGACGCCGCAACCCAAACTACCGTCAGACGTGACGGCCCAAGGACACCATAACCGTGGCACGCAGCTGATGACCGACTCGAATAGCACCAACAACCTAGAACGGCTGGTGAACAAGTTCGTGGTGGAGGACAAGGCCCGACTGCAGGCGGCTCGGCAGTCGCGTTCACTGTCGCCTAAGCCGTTCGCATCGTCCATTCAGTACGCGCTGCAAAAGTTCGAACAGAAAGCTTCCTCGTCCACCAGCCCCGTTTCCGAGCCACAGCTACAACTACAGCAACACGCTTCCGCTGGCAAGCAGAACGTTGGCGGGAGTGGTGCCGCCAAGAGGTACTGCAGCAAGCCGTCACCGATACGGAGCTATGCAGCGGCACCTGTATCAGATGATAGTAAAGTGGACGGGCCTGTGTGGCCGTTTCGGAACGGCGGCAAACCGGTTGTGGCTCAGTCGCAGCAAAACACTTGCGACTTTATGGATGAGGTGGCGAAAGAGGAACAGCGGCTGATCGACGCACTCAAGAACGGATCGGTGGTTGAGAACAGGAAGACTGAAAAGCCGGCCGTACCCAGCAAAGAAGGCGTCCTGTTGCGATCGGCCGCTGGTAGTTACGACGCGGCGGTGACGGGTCACCGTTCTAAGCCAGAGTTCCTCATCGGGCTGTCAGCGCTCAGCTCTTCCAGGCGGAACCAGCACGCGCACCGTCAACAGGAACAGGTGCCACATCCTGAGCTCACTGACCACCAGCGGGCAAACATCCGGTCCAATCACCACCAGTCCAACCCTGTTCGGCCGTTTTTAACGCGTGGTTCAGTTGCCGAACGTGTGCTCATTTTTGAAAAGTGTCCGACCGAACTGATGAAGAACTCTGCCGTTTGCAATTCTTCATCTGGTCAGTCGTCGTGGAAGAACATCGGATCGGATGTGCACAGCAAAATCCAAGTGAGTTTGTATTATTAATGTAATCAATATCATGTAAATAGTAGCAGCTCATTCTCAAACAAAAATATTTTATAAATTTTATATACTTGGTTGACTTTTAAAAATTGGCTTTTGAAAACCATGATATGTGCGCAACTGGGTTGGAGGGAATAGCTTACTATAACTGTTAAGTCATTAGATTATTTTGTTAAAATGGATGAGGAAAATAATTCCTATCGTATTCACTTCGCTTCACTATGAATTATGATATATATATATATATATATATATACCTACTATTAAATTTAATATTCAATTATTATTGATATTCCGATTGAAATAACAAAAAAAGTTTTTAAAGCTGACTTTTATTCGCTATAGGCTCGAAAATTAATGTTGTAGCTAACTATAGAAAGTCTATTTTATAGTCATATATTTTTTTTAAACTTTGTTTATTCTTATGTATTACATTAGTTATTTTTCTATAAAATTCCTACCGTTATAGCCGTTATAGGTTCCTAAATACTTTTTAAAATCGGATAAAAAGTGTAAAATATATCATTATTACAAAAGTTTCAACATTGGTTATAAGGGAATATCTATTTAAGTCCGGGGCTCGGCTTGCGGATCGTACATCATAAACGACATAAACACAACGTAGGAAATGCGAAGCTATTGTCATCTCGGTGTGGTTTTCCTCGAAGGTTGCAAAGGTATCGTTGTATAGCTATAGTTGCGTGCTCATTCCCACGGTATGAATCACATCGTATACGAATGTTTAGCATAGAACCGATTTATTTATAGACGTGTATTTCAAAAATGAATTGATTGGATGATGAGGTATAGGTGACTTACCACACCCACGAACAACTTAATTTCGGTTCGAAGTTCTTCCGTCGAGATCACGGACAAGTGGCGACATATAATATAAAGATCTGGTAATTTATACCGATGCCATAATGACTGAGTTTAATCGAAAAAGCGTAATACAGACATAATTATAGACTTATTAATACATATATAGTAGGTTCCTACTTAGTGAAACGTAGCCAGGATTTTTCTTAAGGGATGCTCTAATCTTATATTGAAATATTACTTAAGTGGGGGGAGGCTATTTTGTAGTAATCAATCTTATTCATAAAATTATAAAATATAGAGAGTAGAACCATAAGACAAGTGGCAGCATATTGTCATAGATACCTACATTAAAGCATATACAAAAAATGTGTATATTAAATACATTTATTTTTTCTTAGATACGGCTAATGGAAAGTATATTACGACATCTAATTCATCTAAGATAAAAAACACCTTCCTAGATATGTCACTGCTTACTTACGGCATGGTTTGTAAAAATGGCGTATTCGTTATATTATTGACGGATGCGCTTTTCCGCCCACTTAGTAGTCAATTGTATATGCTGCAAAGCGTATAAGAATTAAGAATATGACATCACAGCGTCGTGTTCATGTGATATTGTGTATATTTTATGCGCTACGTCCTTCTTACCTATTACATGGTATTTCGTTAATATAGAGTGAAAGCAAAATAGCAAAACAAAAAGCAAGAAAACAAAATGAGTGAATTATATTTTCTTTCGAAAATATTATGTGTCTGTTGTTTGCTCTGATCTTGTAAACCAACAACCTGGAAGTGTTTAAAAGCTCTCCAAAAACAACAAACATTATGTATTTAAATAGTATAAATGATAAGTGACAAACAGCATTCAACTTCAAATAAACAGGTTTACAAGAATTCATTTGAAAACCTTCCAAAAGTCGTAATAAATTATAACGCAACGCCAATATTGAAATATTTTAAAGGGATCGTATATAATTTTTCGTTAAAAGTATAACACAAACATTTTTGATACTATCTAAATAATAAACAGAAAATGGTAAATAATGATCATACTTCGATTTTTTTTTCTAACAGTGTTGCTATATTGTCTATAGTTTATGTTACACTTCATGATCGAAATTCGTTGTGATTTGTTTAGTTAAATTTTTCGTTGTTTTCGCGTGAATTTTGTTCGCTCTTTTGACGTAGAACCCTGTTATATAACATAGGTACCTACACCGTACAAATAGCAACTGTGATGTTATAAGATTAACTCGCGCGTATTGCTAAGCACGTATTTCGTATCGCAGTAGGTAAACGGATAAAAGACGCGCCATCGGATTCAGCAGCAGCAAATTTAATAAGTGGGTTTTCATTTTTCATCACATTATATTAAAACAGAGCGAGCAATCGAGCTATAGATGTCGGCGTTGAACGCGTGGCGGCGGAGGAGGGAGAATGTTGCAAGGCAGGTTTTTTATATTTTACTATTTCATTTTACAAAGTCACAAGTGAATGTGTTTCACAGTCGCTGGGTCAACATGTGTTCGGTTTTATAATAGTAATAATACATCGTCATAATAATAATATAATAATAATAAAACGCCGTCGCCGCAGTCGGACGCGTCAACGCRTCGCGCGCTAACCGCTGCAGAACCGGAGTGGTGCGGCCTTCGTCGCGCACAATAATAATAATAATAATAATAACAGTGTTATGATAATAACGATGCGAGTTTGACGAGTGGAAAAAAGTCGTCCGGTCAGATGTTCGCGTACGGCTTTTGTGTCGCGACCTCCGCTCGACGCAGTCTCACCGTCGCGTGTACGTTCAGCACTGCAATAATAATACATTTTGTACAATATTATTGTATAGTATATCGCTGCGTGATTGCGACCGACATCGGTTTGCCGCGTTTTTATTAATTGTTTTTTTTTATATTCACCATTTCGCTTGTTGTTCTAATGTTTTAATTGTTTACTAAGGTCGTTTCGTTTTCGTTTATCCGCGTAAATTATACCTCACGGTGGCGGTGGTGCCGTTTCGCGCGTGGGCTCGCCATTCCGCGCAGTCCGCCGCGATCGACCGACGACGACGACGGCGGCGGCGATTTAATAATACAACACTCGTTTGTGCGATATCGTCGTCGTCGTGTGTACCATTACGCCGCTCAGACGCACATCCCGTCCGCGTGACTGACTCCCCTCAAATGCGCCTCCCGCCGTCCGCGTGACTTACGCCGCGACTTTTGCAGTATGCACCGGACGTGCATCCGCCGCCGCGGTGTGAAATATGTCGTCGGGACACTATGGTGACGAGCGTACGGTCTTGGTGCTATGCCTGTCAGGTGCTAGTGTTGCAAAGGCACGACGGTTCTGGTGTCGGGGATGATGGTCGGGTCCACGAGCCCAGGTTTCCGTACAAACCCTGGAAACAACGATTGCCCAGGTCTTACAACAAGGTTGGTGATACCGAATATATGGTATATGGTATATTCGGTATATACATATTATCATAAATACCATAAATTGAACATAGGTTTTTTTTTTCACTCGCCCGCAATACGATTTCCTTTCAACCTGTAGACGCGGACGGCAGAACTTTTAATAATAATATCACATATTATAGAACACCCGCGTATCGTTTATACGGAGGTTCGATTGTGTTTTCTTGTATATGTATTCGATTCTCCGTGTTCTCCCCTCTCAGGCTCATTTAAATTTTGCAGTTTTCGACGAATGTTTCGAACCGAAACTTTAAGGTCTTACGTATTATGGACGTATTATAGTATATACTTATATTTCGACACAGCTGTCCGATAACGGACGTGTCCGTTATAAAGAGTAATGCTATGAGCCTGTCTCTGTCCTCGTACATATCCGCCTGCCCGCCTACTGTATGGATAACAAACAAATAATATATTATATCAAATAGGCGTAAACTAATATGCCCGCCTCCACGCTTGTAACTGTATATAGTTTTACATGATATATCGCGGTGTATGTACATCAAAAAACATTATGCCGAATTAAAATTAACAGAGATCGTCTTTTTGCCTACTTTTATATAATATACCACTTTCCTAAACGTTTATAAGATTTTTTTAAAGTGGAACAAATATTTCATTTAAAGCTTGGTCACATCGTGAAAGTTATCGGTGGCGGGGAAAATATACGGACGCTATAATCTACAGTGTATAACACAATAAATTATATGAATTTCGTACGTTTTGAGGAAACAAAAGAATCGTTTTACTGATTGTACCTGATTTGTTCAAAATTTCAATAGCGATCTGATCCAAACTGTAGTCTGGATATGTAATTTTGCACAAGTTTAATATGTTTAGTTAAACTGACTACGACGGCGCGGTTTGTTTTGCCTGCAAAAAGGGCGCGGACATATTATTACGAATAGGCACAAACGATTTATATATTTCATGGTCATCGCTATACATTAAAGCGGCTACCTTCATCATTACGATTACATACCTATACTTATTTGATGCATACATGATATAACTGTAGGTATATATAATAATAATACGTGCAACGCAGCTGCAGCTGTTCACGTCATTTTCGAATCGAATAAAATGTCCAAACGCCCTTGGTTCGAATGTGATTACCGATAGGTTTACTTGTGTACAACGACTCTGAATAATTTAGAAGATTATTAATAAGTTCTTCATAATCGTGTTGTGAATGCGGCCGACTCGATGGGGAGGTTGTTTTTATTTGTCGAATTCGTTCGTTCGTTTGTAACGCGTTTTATATATTACAAATAATTGTCGTTTTTGTATACCCATCATGTATACACGCATAAGATACCTTCCACTACTCATGTATGTATTACAATAATAATTGGAGTTAATATTATAGAAATATAATAACATGGGTTCGCCAAATGTCATTTCCGCGGGTCTTGTGTAGAACCCATGCGAACCAAAACAGAGAATTATGCATTTCGACGTCTTTCGCTTTTATTTCGATTTCGTGTGAAAATCGAGTTATGTAGTATGTCTCAACTCTTAACCATGTGTTCCTTTCGTGTATTGTGTATACCATGTTACTAAAATATGAATTGCTTTATATTACCATAATATTTCGAATATGGCTCTACGAGTCCGACGTCCTTCCGTAGGTACCAGGCAGGTATATTTATTATTATTGAGTAATCGGTGGATTATGTAAAACGAAATAACACCGCGTCTTTAGGTCACGTACAAGATCGTTTATAAAATAATTGATAACGGACCCCCTCTCAACTGACATATACGCACGACAGCCGGTTCTTATATTATGTATCTAAACTCTAAAGAAATCTGTGTATATAATGTGTACCTATATTTAATTATTATTATGAATTCAACGCGTGCAGGACGAACACTTCGAGTTATAATAATAATAATATAATCAACATATTATGTTATGGATGCGATGGCGTCGTGAGCTTGTTTTTCGGTGGCAATTATGTTATAATGTTGTCCCTCGTAATGTTCGTAGTCGGAGGTCATTAGTTTTTATATATCTGTTGAAGTATAAAATATTATGTATTATTATGTAAATAACTTATAATTCAAATGCATAATATATATATATATATTTATGTCGATGCGTTATCGTATTGTATAAACTCATACATAGGTATCTATTTTATTCTAAAAAAATGTATTTCAATACCTACATTTTTTTTTAAATAAATGTGCTTACAACTTTGTAATTTAAATTATTATGTCCAAAGGTGGACTTATTGGGATAGCGATGTTGAAATTTGGGATCGTTTTCATAAATTGGTGGTACCGAATTTTGGTGATAAATAGTAATAATAATAAGCAATTGGGGTCTGGGAAAATTATTCTAATTTTCTGGGGCCTATCTATATAGTTCCAATCAGCTATTTCTTAGGATAACGCAATAGTCGTGGTGAAGTAAGAAGTAAAGAATTTTTTTCTTCAAACTATTTTAATAGGAAGAATCGTGTTAATAATTGATTGTATCGTTTCAGAACTATTCAAAGGAATCAAATCAGAAACCTGGAGCGCCTCCACCGCACACTACGTTACAAAGACATACTAAGGCTAACCGTAACGTATTTATTCCTAGGTATGGTAACGCATATGTTTTTGTGTGGTAACGGCACACGATGATATAATATAGCCATATAGGAGGTGTATTGAATTTGATTTTTTTTTTGTGTTAGATTCTACTATCCATTTGGCAAGCCTGAGAGTCAACAGCAGTGGGATACTATCGTCAAAACAATCACAGATTTCTTCATGTCGTTGCCGAATTCACAAGCTTCGAAACATCATTTTGGTCAAATTGCAAAGGTAATCATGTCTTAAATTTTGATCATTTTTGTATGATATTTCAATTTTTGTCTTTTTTGTGCGTGTTTCAGTTATGTAATTGTCCGCTTTATTGGAAGCAACCTCTGTTCTTTGCCTGTGGCGGAGACTTGTCCAGTACTATAGACGTAAACACCTTCCTTAATTATTGGAAAGAGTAAGTCCATTGTTGTCATTATTATTATTAATTCAAAACTCATAAATCATAATAATAATAAATCGAATTTTTTTCTCAGCGTGTGGTCTTCTTGTCACGACTTGCCATCGATGTTCATACGCATATTATCCAGAAACTCAAAAAAACAAACATTATCACCCGAAAACTTCATCTTATTAGTCCAAGATGTGGTCGATTCCCATCCCGGCTTAACATTCCTGAAAACTGCACCAGAGTTCCATTCTAGATATGTGCACACGGTAATTAAAACATTATTTAACCAATTTGTTTTATATATAAACAAATCAATTAACTATGTGTTTTATAATTTTAAACGATAGTAGACAGTAGTGTGATTTAATAATTTATCATACTATAACGACTAGTGACCACATGTTGTGGTTTACAATTTGAATTAATAATATTTATTTTTATCCATTAATCAACATTTTTATTTTAAAAAGTATTTAATTTCAAGACCACAAATATTTTTAATTCCTAATAAAAAACTATTTAATACAATTCTTCAATTATACAAGTCATATTAAAAACAGACTAATAATATATATTTTTGTAAATTTTTAAAACCAGGTAATATCAAGAATATTCTACAGTGTTAACACATCATGGAGTGGTGATCTTAGTCTAGCAGAAATCAGACGATCAGATTTAATTCGAGTCATTGATCTATTAGAAAAAGAAGAAGATATCAACCAAGTAACTGCATACTTCAGTTATGAACATTTCTATGTCATATACTGTAAGTTTTGGGAGTTGGATCGTGATCACGATTTATTTATTAGCAAAACTGATTTAGCCAGACACAGCGATCATGGTTAGTTTGATGTGAATAAACATTTTGTGGATAGTATTATAAATTATTTCACCTGTCATGATTTATAATTTTACGCATACAATTTTTTACAGCTTTGTCCACAAGAATAATTGACAGAATATTTTCTGGGACTGTTACTAAGAAAAAGCAAAAGAATTCTAATAATAATTATATAGAAGAAAAGATGAGTTATACTGAATTTGTTTGGTTCCTAATGGCCGAAGAAGACAAACGACATCCTAGAGCGGTTGAATATTGGTTTAGGTAAAATATCCCAATATATATGTTTAACTCTATAATGCTATATTACACATTATTTGAATGTAAATAACTTATTCAGATGCATGGATATTGACGGTGATGGTTATTTGTCTATGTACGAGCTTGAATATTTTTATGACGAGCAATTGCAAAGAATGGAAAGCATAGGAATTGAATGTTTACCATTTGAGGATTGTTTGTGTCAGGTATAATATTGAAATACATTTTATTATAAACATCTCTTTTAAATTCAATCGTTTATGTCATTTTTGTTATTTTAAATTAATTTAGATGCTTGACATGGTCAAACCAAAGTGCTGTGGCAAAATATCATTAGCTGATCTCAAAAGATGCAAAATGACTCCAATATTTTTTGATACATTCTTTAACCTTGAAAAATATCTGGATCACGAACAACGTGATCCATTTGCTTCACAGAGGGATAATGAAAATGAAGTTAGTAAAATATAATTTAATAAAAACTAACTATTATTTGTTGTTTATTTAAATGGTATTGTATAATTTCAAGCATACGGATAATGGAAATAAATATTATAAGGTCAGTTATCTTAATGTTTATAACTGTTTGAGTTGTCAGGTTATTTATTTTTATTTTAAGTTAAAGACTTCCACTACATGGTTATTAGCAGTTTTTTTTACTGTAGGAGGGTTATGGTTGGTTCGGAACACGTGTGTCTAGGATAAGGATTCATAATTAAAAACTTAGGTGGTCACCCATTCTTGACCTCAGAACATAAGTAACTGAAGTCATCCACCGAGCCATACCAGGCCCTGTTTTATCTTATATTTGTTATTATGTATTATATTATAGTCTTATGTGCAATAAGTTTATGATTTTTTTGATGTTCTAGGCATCAGACTGGGATAAATATGCTGCTGAAGAATATGAAATGTTAGTAGCTGAAGAAGGTGGAAACGATGCACCAGAAGAAATGTAAGTATTTCATATTTATTACATTAATGTGACCAATGGCTTCTTTACGGAAATCTTGACATTCTTTTTAACTTTCCATCACTACTTAAATATTATAAATATGAAAAAAAAATTGGTGGTAATATTATTACAGAATAACAGACGAAGACATTTGAAGGAAGAAATATATATGATAGTGGTAAGTGTCTGTGGTCTGTTGTGCCGTCCTCCATTGTTGTTTAGCACACTCCTATAATTTTGTAACACACCCGTAAACTAGATCTTTCCTTACGATTGTTTTATTTTTTTTGTATAACCACTGTAGCTCTAATCACCTCACTGTAATAACACTATTTTAAACAGTTGTATTTTATTCTTCTGTATTTTAACTATTCATAATTAAAGTTAGCAAAGTATTAATACTAAAATTTTTTTTAGAAATGGAACTGATATTGAAGATATCCTGTCACCCAATTTGGATGATGTATTGAAATCATGTACGTTTAATAAACTATCCAATCAGCCTAGAGTTTTGGTCACTGATTTCTCTTCACCATCTACTATGTATGATGATAATGATTCATCTGACTATGCTGGCGATAGTGACGATGATATTTAATTTAAATACACAATAATAATACATAATAATAGGTTATAAATAATAATAATAATAATAATAATAATAGTAATTTTAGTAATAAATATAGTAACACAACCACGTTATTTCTTTGTGACAATGGGAATTGCTGACATTATTATACCAAAGAATATAGTTGCTCATATTGTCCTCTTGTTCCCATGTTTTTCTTCTGTTGTTAACTTGAACTTATAAATGCATAATTTTTGACAAAATGTTACATAACATAATTTATGTGTGTGTTTTTGTTAATAGGCTATAGCCTGAAAATATGTTCATTATTATTTTGTTTTATTTATGAAAGATTAATTGTTGTTGTTTTCAAAAATGTTTAAAGCATTATAAAAGGTGTATAAAATAATTGCGCCATGTACCAGATTTTATATTTGTCATTATAATTTTTTGTATGAAATTTATAAATTGTAAATAATTAATTCAATTTTTAACTAGTTAAATTAATTTTAAATGCAAGTAGTATATTTATAATGATGTAAAATATGATTGAAGAAAAACCAAAATATTTGTTAAATATGTTATACAAATCTTATTGAAATAGTTTTAAGAGTTGTGTCCGTTATGTTATAAAAAAAAAAACAAATTATTAACATAGTCTAGTCGAAAATAGAATGTTATTATAGTATGTACTAATAATAATGACATTATTTATTAATTACATATTTTTTAAAACAAAATTGTATGAAATATTAAAATCTAATTTTTCTTTCTATTATTGTGTGTTTTATTATGAAAATTAAAAAACCTAATCTATTATACTTGTATGTACCTACTTATATATTTTAAACTTATATTTAATTAGGTATGCTGTTTATTAAATTTGTTGTGTTTTGAATTAATTCTTCTTAGTGATATCTATTCTTATTTTCAATCTTCTAATCAATTACCATGATTTTTTTCAACAGTTGAAAAAAGTGATCAATAATTTTTTATTATTCTTTATGTCCTTTAAATAGATCTACAAATTATTATTATTAAACATCTATACATGTTTAAGTATGTGTACAGTACAACTATAATATTATTCAATAATATTTTGACTAAATTAAAAAAAATAATATATTATGTATGTTACGTACTTGTAAGACGGAGAGAAGACATGTGAATATCACGACTATTGCCTACTCTTAACCTTTTTTTTGTTTTTATATACACATTATATCAATTATGATTATGTTAACTTTAGTTTAACTCTTCAGTCTTTATAAAAAATAAACATTTATTAAAATTAGATTGTAGTATAGTACTGAATAATATCATTGGGTTTTTAATGGAAGATTAAATAAGGTAGGTAGGTCAATATTTCTCCAAAAACTTAAAAAAAGATGTATTTTTCATGTTCCGGGTGTCCAATAGGGACCAGTATAAACCTGGCGAAAAATAAATTAAAAAGTGATAACATTTTTTTTTATCTTTTTCCAATTGGTTTGTATACAAACAACAAGCTGTTTACATTAAAAAATATTTCATAATAAAAGTTAATAATAATATATTTTATAATATTGTTAATGACGATCAACAAAGTGTAACCTATAACCGTGTAACTTTGTATGGTGTAACATATGTTATACTTATAAATTATACAACACATAATACATAATATTATCAATATTATGCTTACATATTTCATAGAGAATGTATTACCTAGGTGGCCAGGATTTAAAACTTTAAATTTTAACTATTCAGTTTTTACAGAAAAATATAAATTCTTTTCAAACCTTAATGTAAACCTAATTTTTATGAGTGTAGGTAATGCATTGTAATGTGGATTATGCATTGTAATTTTCATAGGGCTCATTGTGCATCTGCCTAGGTAGTTGCATGGCTGGACACTACGGACCTGTGAAGGAGTGTCGTACGAATTTCCAAACTGGACTTATATACACTTATATACTGGTGATGAAATTAATTGATTAAAAATAATCAAATAACTCGATTGTTGGAAAAAATTATTGAATTAATTTGCTCAGTCTAGAAATCAACAGATAAAAATTGAACGAAAAATTAGTAATCAAGAGTTATTTGAATAATTGTAATAACTTATAAACCTAATCAAATATTATTTTATCCTATTTATCTAGTCATGATTAATCTCAGTCATCATATCTAAATTTACAAGAAAAGTAAGAATATCGAATTTAATTGAACATTGGACACAGAAAACAACTGTTCGATAGAAAAATAACATTTTCTGAATTATGCAAACTGGAGTAAATTAAATTATTTATGTATATTATGTATATCTGCAACTTCAATTCTTCTTTCCTCTGAGTATTTTCAAAAACTGGATTGTTTATTAATGATATTGTAGAAATCGGCCGTCACCTCTCTCCAAAACAAATTGAATACTTAATATTTTTAAATACAATGTAATACACTATTCAGGTGCTTCTTTTCTTTTTTTTTTTTTTGGTTTGGGATGATCGCCTATAATTACGTTCCTGATAATATTGAGTAATATTTTTATTTATTTAATATTTTTATTTTGAACAGATATAATATATTATAATTTATAAGCGTAATACAATGGCGACATTCTATGTTTACTATGAAATTATGTTAATAAAGTTTCTATAAAGTTAATATAGTTTTCAATTTTGTATTAATAAGTCGATCTGATTTTTCAATCGATCATATTAATAAATTCTTCGTTTAAAATATTTCATTCGATTATGATAACAAATCGATTATTCCCACTATACTCATCTATACTAAGCTTGCGATTTCATCTACCTATTTGTTGACGTAGGGACATTTCATAAATGTAAATTTATTTTTTGTCAAGTGGCTGGCGAGCGGTTAATTGACTTTTGGAAAGTATGTAACTTACGTGTTTTTGATTTTTTGTAGAGGAATAATTGTTGATCAAACTTCGTAAAATCATAACTACTAAAACTGCTATAAAAAGCTTACAGAAAGTTCAGTTAAATACCCAAAATGTCAAAATGTACCTACTAGGAAACTGGAAAGGGAATAATCTGAGCACACATAAATATTTTGAATTAGAAATTTAGTTATACCTACAATTTCAGTTTAATTTTCAGCTATACAAAATAAATAATTATTGGCTTTTTAGCGTTTCTAGGGGACAATGCACTGAACTGAATTCCGTAAAATTACGACCATCATGATTAAAGAATTTAGGTACGTGGTACGTCTCCCCTTTCGAAGCCTAGTGACAATATTATTAGTGATTAATTAATTACCGTAATATCACAGATTAAATAAAAATTTTAATGTTCAATTTTAATATTTTAATTTAAATTGTGGTTATATCTTATGTCTTATAGGTATCTACGTAGTACGTTGTGTGCTCAAATCTAACCGCCATCTATTAGTATATATTGGGTTTTGATGCACTCGCGTAAGAACCACTGTTCACTTTTGTCGATAGTCACTAGTCTGTGCTGCTGTATGAGTTTTTTTTATCTCAGATCAAACTTCAACAATGCATCATATTGATTCAAATATTCTGTGACTATATTATTCAAATATTATCATGTGTGTCGTGTGAATTGAATTCCTGACGAATTTTATCACGAAAAATTATATACTCAATTGATATATTATGAAATATGAACGCTAGTTTTGTAGCTGCGACATTTACGAGTTGTTGGTCTAATGATTTTGTCAATATTTCATGATATACCTATTGGTTATTACTTATAGTTTCAGAGAAGATTGCAGTAATAAATGGCATCGAATTGAGGGATAAAAAGTCTACGCTTGGCTCTACCCAATAAATATAACATTTTGTTAGGTACCTATTATAATATTATACATCACTATTATCTTTATATAATTTTATTGTGTACATTATACTATATTTTTAATGATCATAAATTTATAACTGTTTTTTGCTATAAGTTCACATGCCTACCAGGCTAATTTGTATTTATGTAAAATGTGAAAAAATGTTTCAAACGGTCTTATAAATTATAGTTAAATACTTAAATCGCTATATTATGACCAAGAAGGTGCAATCCGACGAATATACTACATATATAGTTAAACTGCGACGAATGTTTTAGTTATTGTTGTAACTTATAAGAATGAATCAATTAAAATGCGTATGTAAATTGTCTACAGAGTGATGTTCAAGTACCTATCTATTAATCTATKAATACAATATAATTAACAATATTACAATAGTACCTATAAATACAGGTGCGGACTGGTAAAAAACAGCGCAGAATTATGCTATAGAATTTAAAGGGAAAATAACAAAAATGTCTGGGATAAATTTAAAATATGTAGATTAGTCGGCGAAATCAACATAAGCAATTATTTGCGAAATTGATATTAAAACAGCGCAGTCGATAAAACCCCAAAAGACGCTATAGCATTCCAGCCAGTCCATGGCTGCATAATATACATAGTCGTAAATCACAGAAGGGCTAAGAGGGCCAAAATTACAATTTTTATGTATCTACCTACAGAAATATTATGTTCAATTATACGAAAAATAATTTCCATTGCTAAATAGATAATAAATTATTTAAGAAATAGTGGGCATTATACATATCTAAATAAAATGTATCAATATATTTAAAATGTAGATATACATTTATTCAAAACTACGTATTTCAAAAAAGTTGACAAATATTAAATAAGCCATTGCCCATTGATAAGTTATGGTATGTTATCATAATTTGAGCTATTGTTTAATTTAATATGACGATACCTAGATAATTTATAAACTATATTATGTACATTCATTTTTATTTATTTATTGAATTACTTTAAAATTAAAATAATATAATATATAAATGATATTTCAATTGAAGTATTTTATAACTTCTTATATTATATTATTATGCTGCAGTTTGTAAAATTGTATTGTACTTCTTAAGGGTCGAATACAGAATAAGTAAATAAAAAATAATTAGTTTGAAGTTTTGTAAATAGTTTTTCCAAAAACATCGCATTTGAAAATATAATAATTGCGTTTAGCGTGTGTAATATAATTGTATTGTTTTAAGTATCAAAAAATAGTATTTTATTGATTATTGCTAAATTCTTAAAATCGATATCCTACAATTTTGACGAATTTAATTGTATTCAATCTTCTATAAGCTTAAATGCTTATAAAAAAATATTGTGAATCTGTAATTTTGGTGTTTCATTTATGAACAATGTATGAGAAACGTTGAATCGCATTTTCAAGGTTTTTACCACACAAACAGTTTTTATCAACATATTTATTTTTGTCATTACAAATTTAAAAAATATATATCACTATATCAGTATATACCTAGCTCAGAAGGATCAAAATATTTTGAAAGTGTTTTCAAGTATAGAAAATTCTAATAATTGGGAGAAAATTTCAAGTATTTTATATTCGTTTTTGAATTAGATATTTGAAAAAATAAAATTGATTTTCTCAAAACCAGGATTTTTTAAAATCCAAAAGATTATTTTGAGAAATAGTGGAACATTTTTACATTTGACTCCTCCTCCGCCCAAAATACCAATAACTACATCCAATTTGTTATCAGAACCATTACCCGAGCATATTTTTCATTAGAAAAAGTGTCTTTATAAAAAACACATCTTTGTAAAACCAATACATTCATCATCGCTCTGGTTAGAATCTAAAATTATGTAATAGATAACATGAAAAATTTGTAATGGAATAGTGCAGATTGTTTATTGATCTTAAAATGAAAATTTAGCATTGTATTTTAAAATGTTCATAAAATTCTAAATTATTTTTAAGAATTGTATCAAAATAATTATTTAATATATATATCTAAAAACAGAATTCAAAACAATTTAATTTAATTTAATTAGAAATATTCCATGAATCTATGTCATGTACCTACAGGATCGAAAATTGTAATATAACTTAATATTATATTTAACCGTAGATCATTTTAATCATGATACAAATTTTCTTGTGAATCTTAACATTGAAATGATATACGTATTGTGTATTATGGACAGTGTAGTCAGTAGCTAGGTAATAGACTTTCGAAGTAGATGATAATATTATATATTTCACTATTTGTACTTAAAATTTTTAAAAAATATTATTTTTATTTATAACTACCACATAGCATCCACAATAACAACCACAAGACCGTAAAAATATGTCGTTTTAACCAGATGTCGTTTTATAAAATATGCACATATTAAAATAAATGTAATTAGCTGGAACCTTGAAATTAATGTCGCTATACCCCGAATGCTGTTATGACCAGTGTTGATATAGATGATTACTGACTGTATTAAAAACAATATTTTTAGTATTGTAATAAAAAATTAGAATACAACATTTAATTTAAAATTAGCAGGATTTATAAGAGCTGATATTGGTATAGGTTTGTTCTAAAAATCGATATATTTTATTTTACATAAAATATATTGTATTATAATGCAAGTAAAATTTTACAATATTATAAATAGATATATTTATGCAACTGATATTTTTATTTTAAATATTTTAAAACTCGCCATTCACTAATTCTCTACAATTAATACATAGGTAATATTATACAATTTACTTACAAGAATAATATATAATACACATTAGGCCAACATTTACATAATTTAAATTTGATGTTTGTACAAAATGTATTGCAAATTGGCTCGTATAGCTGTGTTATAAATTTTATTTTAATATTATGATTAGTGATTACCATGCGTAGGTATATCATATTATTATTATGTGACACTGCGTTGACTATAGCGAAGGAGTAGATGCTTAAAGTAAGTGCAAAACGGCTGCGAGTCGATGGAACGGGGTAATACATTTTAGCGGTTGAAGGTCGTAGACTGTAGAATCCATATCATAATAATATAATATTATGGTTGTGAAACCTTTGGATGAGCATTCTGACGACCGGTTTTTCGACATAAGAAGACCACAAAAAATAACATATACACAGACGAAAGAAAATTATGTATAATACGATTTTAAAGATAATTAGTACACAACGAGTACACACACACGCACACTCAAACACAATTTTTTTTTATTAAAAAAAAAACTTGGAACGGAGATTGAAAATTTAATATTAGGAGGGGCTTGTCGTGTTCAGATGTCTCTTCAAAGTTCTCYCAACCCGGATTACTGGTTTTTGACAATAACTATTGCTGGAGACAGTCCAATATATCGCAGCACCCGCGCGTGTAGCCACGAAGGTATATATAGTAAAGGCCGGCATTCAGTAATGTATCCAGTCAATTGGCGGCTGTAAGGTTGAACAGTACCAACGAGACAGACGCCACAAGCATTATGGCTTCCAGTGTTGTGGTGAGTACGAAAACGACATTATTTTTGTTATACCATACTTATCAGTTATCATACTCTTATAGTTAAGTAACTTGTCTTCTTACTAAAAATATAAGATGACCTAAAACTGTAACAAGCTTCTAATTTCATTTATTTAAAAATTATATCATAATATTATAATAAATATATACCCAGTAGATAGTATAACTTGGTATCCAAGTATTCTTTAATTTATATTTAATTGTTAAAGCATCAGATTTTATTAATATAGTCGTGATTTTTACAATAAATTTCTTTTTACTTTAATTCGCTTTCATAATGTGTAAGCATGTAACAATAGCGGTAGATATTTATTTTTCGAAAAAAATGATTTAAAGTGTCTTGAAACTTTTCCACTATTGCATGCACCATGTACCTACCTATTGCATATCTGTAACACATTGTTGAGGTACTAAAAATTTGTATAWATATAATTATTATTGTTACAAAAATCTATAAGCATACACTTTAAAACTGTAATAGTTAGCAATACAATAAAAACCTTAATGTACTTGGAAAGTTTTAGATACTAGGTATATCTACACTTAGAATATTTAAACTTGTTAATTTATTAATTTCAAAATCATAATAATATTATGTTTGAAATACTGATTTTATAGAYACATAGTTGTGATAAAGATATATAAAACGTAAAATACAAATAATAGTCAGTAAACTTCTTAAATTATAAATTAGTAATATTTAAAAATATGATCGTTATTTAATTTATTAAAAAAAATGTA